CATGATGCTCTTATTCAACATGCTCAAAAACATGCATTTGATTATAGATATGCAGTAAGCATCAAAAGATTAAAGAGAAATAAATTTGTCTATTTATATTGTGACAGAGATGGTATATACAGAAATAAAATGAATCATATGAATAAAACTTGTTAAAGGGTTACAAGCTTGTGATTAATAAATTGTTCTTTTAAACTATATAGTAAAATAGAAAATAGGTAATAGTATTTAACAGTAAAAAATACCAATTATAATTATGAAGCATTAGAAGATATATTAGATAAGGTTAAAAATTATAACACAATTGGCATAATTGTTATAACAATAAAGTTGTTTTAAAGTATAATAAATAGGATAATAATGAATTTGGTATTATTTGAATCATATTGGTGAGGTGAACTAAATAAATTAAAAATTATATATTTTGCCTAAATTTATAATATTTTATATATATAATATTAAGTCATTTATCTAGTCACCAATTAACTAAAGAAGAGCAATAAAATGTTTAACAAATGTCTGTTGCAAATATCTGTTTACAAAAAATACTTTCTACTTTTCACCAAGGCAATTCTAATATTAAAGCAATTGCCAAAACTATATATAATACTCAGAACAAGATTTAACATATTAATCTTCAGGACCATATATCAATTCAGCCTCTTCTTGATAAACTAAAAGATAAAAATTTTCAGTATAACTATTAACATGATAAAGATAGACATTTAACTCATCCTTTTTTTGTATATTCACTTTCAATTATACTTATACAAACTTATAACTCTGTTCTTTTGATATATTACACCTATAAAATAAACAGATTTAGATGCTATTACTTCATATTGTTGGCATGCCAAGTTTTATACTACATTTTTTTCTTATTTTGCATTCATAAGATCAGAATATGAAGAAGATTATGTATAGCTTCTAACTTGGATTGCATACATATTTAATAACAATTTGATACTTAAGGTTAGTATTATAAATTTTAAAAAATATTTAACTAATTGATTAATTAATTAGTTACAACTAAAGCTATACAAACTTAATAAATCAGTTTTTATAATTCAGCCAGGTCAGAATTTACAAAACTTTAAAAAAAAATTTCAGGTATACTTACTATTCAGGTGAGTTTTTTAAAAATCTATAAAATTAAAAGCCAGATTGTCAGATCATTTAAAAATTTTGTCATAAAATCCAATTTATTAAGTTTGTATAGCCTAACTAATTAAATAATTAATTAATTTTCAATTAATTTTATTGCAACTAATTAATTAATTCTTTAATCAATTAGTTAAAACCAATTAATTGATTTTTTAATCAATCAATTGGTTAGTTTAAATTCAAAAAAATTTATTTAATTAGTTTTTAACTAATTAACTTTTGAACTTTTAATTTGTAATACAACCTCAGATTATCATTACCAACAGAAAGCTAACACTAATACATGCTGTAGTAACTATGTTTCCTAAATCAAAAAACCTTTTGTATGTTTGACATATTGTAAAAAACATGTTAGCTAACTGTTAGTATTATTTTTTTGCATTCAAAGAATGGATTTATTTTTGAAAAGTTGGACCAGAGTTACAAAGTCTAAGACAGAAGCAGAATTTAATAAAAAGTGAGAAGAGCTGTTAGTAACTTATAATGAAAAACTATTAGTAATTATATACATGCAGGACACATAGATATTACTAAATTATATTTTATAAGCTTTTGGGTAAACCATTATTTATACTTGAGAAATGTAACTATTTCATGGGTAAAAGGATTTCATTCAATACTAAAAAAATATCCTCAAGTATCTGTAGGTGATCTTTGTATTGTTTGTGAAAGAATTTTTTTAGCATTAAAAACCCAATACAAAGAAACCTAAGTTATGATTTCTTAAAAAAAAATACAAATACCTTATATATAAAACAATCTATTTTATACACAAGTTGTCACCAAGGTGTCTATATTTATTCTAAAAAAGGTTTATAAACAGTTTTTAAAGATCTCTAAAATAACTTTTAAAAATCCATTAACTTCTTGTAACAGTATCTTTATATCATCAATGAGTCTTATTTGCTTTTATAAAATTCAAGAATATCTTTCTACCAACCAATACTTACAACTTACTGACTTTCACCAATATTGGTAGATTCAAGATTGTCATTCACTTCAACAAGTATTTGCAGATACTAATAATTTTTTACAACAACAATAGCAAAGTTATTGCTAGCAGTTTGACTCTTTGACATCTCAATAACAAGATATAATTCTAGATAAGATATTAAACCTGTTTTAAGAGTCAACTGTAACTATAAAAGACCCACAAATACAACCTATAAGGGGATGTCTAGCTGGATCCAAAAATGTTACTTATTTATCTACTAGAAGAAATCTGTCCAACTTTGAATTAATAGAATCAGACAAACATAGAAGGTGTAGTTTATGTCATCTAGTTGAATATAATAGTAGAACATGTTTTAGTATAGAAAAAAAAAGTTAGCTTATCTTCAAATTATTTTAATTCAAATGTTTGAATAATATAGCCTTTTAGAGTAATCCTTTGTAATGAATGCAGTCTCTTATTATGTTGTCAATAAATTTATTAGATTGTCAAAGTAATAACTATTACATATACTATATACATTTTAGAAAGTTAAATGCATTTTATTTAATAACCTAATTACAGAAAAGAGAATAATTTGTCAAAAGAATTTCACAGTAGCTGACTAATGATGTATATAAAGATTGCTTTTAATTTGAGTATGTAGCTTTTAATATAGGTTTCTTAAAAGCAGCAGAATAGATTTATATTGATCTACATATTGCATAAATTCTAACTTTAACTGGCTTTAAGGATTTTTCTAATATGGACATTCAATCAAATTTTAATTTACATAATCAAAATTTGATTCATTGATCAGTATAGTGAAAATAGCAAATTTCCATAATGGAAATAGATGTTTTCTATATTAAATATAGTTAATTTTTCTAAAAAAATCTTAAAAATTTTATTTTGTTTTAATATTATATTTAATTCTTGTTAATAATTTAAAATTACAAAAAAGAAGATTTTATGTATATATAAATAATTTTACAAATTAAATAAATTAATATATAAAATACCTAAAAATATATATTTAATTTAAATTGTATTTGAAAAAATAATTAAAAATCTCTTAAATGCTTAATTTATCTGATAGATTTTTTGATTTTATTTAGTTCTAAAGTATAATAAATCTGATTTTATAAAAGATTGCTAACTTTTAAACTAAAACAAACTAAACAAACTAACTAATCAACAGTTCAATTTAAAACTATACAGATTTTAGATTATTAAACTTTACAAAAGAAATTTATTTAAATCAGATTATTAAAAGAATTATTTTTATAACAAAGTTTCTATTTATATTATTTATTATATAACTTACATACTTATATTTGTTTTGTCTCTCATTTCCTGTATACTTATTACTATGAAGAACACTAAACAGGTATGTCTCTTCCGTCATCAAACAACCTATGCAGCCTTCGTGAGTACTGACTGACTAATATAAGCTTTCTTTCTTAATATCAATATTACTATTGCTAATCTAATTATTGCTAGCAGTTGTCTTAACTGACCAACTAATATAAGCTTTATTTATTACCATCAATATTACTATTGCTAATCTAATTATTGCTAGCAGTTGTCCTGACTGGCCAACTTATTGCAACTGTCATCTGAACAGGTTGCAATTCAAAATAACTGCAAACTGAATATCCTACCCATCTTTTCCTTCCTTATTTCAAACAAAACTGCCATTCCAGCAGGCCAGATAATTTAACCAGTGCTTAAATCCTGGGAAGGATGGGTGGGCTCGAAATAACCAAAACGAAAGTCGGGTTCGCAGAAGACAACGTTACCTTTTATTATTTCCCAATTTTTCCTAATATACTACCCTCCAATTACTCCATTACCTCATAATTACTCCATTACCTCTAACTTACTAACAAACTACTTACATTGATCAAACTCTGATCAATGAACTCATTACTAATAACTCAAATTACCTCATACTTTCGTTCGATTAACTGACACTCGATCGAACATGTGACCGTAAAAGGGCCTATCACATGTTCGATCGAATAGCACATGATTCGAGACAAAAGCTGCTTCGATACTTACGTATCGAGCAGCTAATGTAAGTCACATGCTTATAACTTACCTTACATTAAAAAATCAATAATTACTGTAAATTTCAACCCTAGTTACATGTAAATATATAAATATGATTATATAAAAATATGATATAACTAATTTTGTTAACTTTTGATTAGACAATAGACTTAACTTGATAATTCACAAAAAAAGTCATGAAGAACCTAATTATTTCTAATTTATCGCGTTTTAATTTCGTTCGTGTTATTGTTTTGGAAGATTTTTCATTGGTTTAAGCTTTTATATCGATCACTATTCAGATTGGTATGGCGCAAATTATTTAAAGACATCTAAAATATTTGGAATTTGTAAAAAAAAAAAGAAAGATGAATTGATTTATAGGATCAGCTTGCGAAATTTATAATCTCTTAAATTATATAAGTTGCGCAGGTTTGATGTCAAACCGTACAGCAAATTTTATAGACATCTTATTTTCAGACAATTAATTTACCTACAGGTTTGTTTTCAGATAAATAACGCACAGGCAAGATTGTTTCGTAAACAATATATTTTTTGGATAGTTCATTTTACATACATTAGGATCAAAGTAGATTTATAAGAGACTGGCTAAATCAACTCAAAAGACTGATTCAATACATAAAAATGTTGAAAAAATTAGTGCATATAAATAATTCTATAAAGTTTTAAATGATTTATTATTTAATTAATTTGCTACCTATTTATAAATAAAATTAATGAATTTCAAAATTTAGAATAGTATATATTTGAGGTATAAAAATACATCATAATCTAATTTTAATAATTTGAAATCAAAATCTAATTTTAATAAATTTATATATAATGATAATTAGAAATCAACAGGTTTAATCGTTGACATCGGTAAATAATTATATACATTGAAACTATCAGATTTGTTATAAAGGAAAATAATTGCAACGACTAATATTATTACAGAAATAATAGCACAAATGATTGCACTGATAATTAAACCAGAGAATTTAGAGTCTGAAGTGGTTGGATTTAGATTTGTAATCGAAGTAGAAGTAAGTCCATCAACCCACGCATAAGCATTATTTTGATTTACATTTAATATAAATATCCTCGATGAAAAACTAGAATTTGAAAATGTGCCTGTTTGACAAATAAATGTTTTAGAATATTTAATATTTAAATGAGAAGTTGAACATAAGTTATAATAAATGATTATGAACGTACCAAAAGCAACAAACATATAATTATCCATCAATGTTGCAGTATGACCAGAAAGTGTTAGATCCGCAATTGGATTCACAATATTTCCAATTGACCATTGAAAAGTTGATATATTCAAGATCCACAGGTCACCGAGAGTCATTTCATTTTTACCACCAAACATTAAAATACGTCTATCAGGAGCTTTAATTTAAACGAAAGTTTTTTAAAAAAAATTTTGAAGAAAAATTGGGAGTTAATAATTATTAAATATAAACCATACTTAATACTACTGAAAAATATCTACGACCGGGAGGTATTGGACCAGAAGTACTCTAATATGAAGTAAAATAGATTCATAGACCATAGACCATTAATTGTTAAAATATAATTAGAAACGTATTGAATTGACTCACTACATACAATGTTCGACCATATATTAGATGTTGTATTATATAAGGGTAACTAAAATATTGTTTATTAAAAAAATAAATAAGAGAGCAATTCATCAAAAAAAAAAAAAACCATCGCTTATAACACTTACATTATTCATTGGCATATATGATGTCCAATTAGTAGGATTACTTCCACCAATGTATAAAATGTTATTATCCGGTAAAGTTACTGCACAATAGCCATACCTAGATGATGGTACATTAGTTTCATTGCTTAAACTCCATGATAGTGTTAATGTGTTAAATATCCAAAGATCATTTTTGGCATAAGTTAAATTAATATAACCACTGAAAATTGCAATCAATCCATTATTAAATTCGGCACATGAAATATCTTCTCTATATAATGGAGCTACATCAGTAACAGTGATATTGGTCCACTGTTGCTTACTTGTATTAAATTGATTAATAAAATTATTATTGTAAGGAAAACCACCAAAAATAAAAATAGCATCATTTTTGTTTCCACCAATACATGCAGTGGCAGAATGTTTTAGGGGACCATTAGTATATGTAAGGTCAATCCATGGTATAGAAGCATTGTTCGTTGTTGTAAATGGTTTAGATAAATCCAAATAAAAGAATTCATTGGTAGCACTAGCAACTGAAGAGAATCCACCACTAAAATACAATTTCTTATCAATAAGAACTGAGGAATGAAATTCTCTTCCAACAGGGATAAAAGCAACTGTAAAAATAATATGAAAGAGAAAAAAGACTATAAAGCTAAAATACGACATGATTGTATTGTAGTATTAAGTTAAAATGGCTATTAAAATAACTAAATAAGATGTCAATTTAAGCAAATAATTATTTATGATATTTGTAACGCAGTAATTTGTACAAGTCCTACGTATACTGAGTAATCTCATGATAACAAGGTTACACAATCTAAATATTGACAATCATATCAGTATTCTCCCTAATACGTTAAAAATTCCTAGTGTTATGTACGTACTACATAACGTGTAATGTAAAACATCGTACGTAGAGGATTTGAGTGCAACGTTAGGTTAAACTATGTCAATCAAATCCAAATAACTATAAATTATGCCTATGAAATTAACTTCCTTTTCTTAACAAAAAAAAATTCCTTACATAATGTTACTATATATTATGACTTTCTAACCTGTCACCGCCGGTGACAAATAGACTGTTTAAATAAATTAAATAAAACCTTAATAAATCCTTTTTTAAAAAAAAAGCCATCATCTTTTTTTCTAAAATATAAGGCCTGCTGAGCAACCGTGCAAAATTTTCAAACCAGTTAATATGTAATTTACTAAGTAGATACAATTTTATGTTTAAAATCTTATATGAAATGATTATAAAAAATTATCAAATTTTCAAATTGTATCTCCTCAGTAAATTAGCTTAAAAATTGCACGATTGCTCAGCCGGCCTTATATTTTATATAAATGAAGCTATTTTTTATTTATTTTGGGAATTTTCAACGATATTAATAATTTTCAGTTGAAATTCTGGTATTTTACTATCTTCGTGATTGGTACATAAAAAATTTAAAATATGAGACTATATATATTTGGTTTTCATAGTACATTTAATACCCCAGCGCTACGTACGTACCCTTTCGACAAATAATGCGAAATATTTAAAGATTTGTAATAGAATAAACAAACTATGTTGAGTTACAATGGTACAGGTCCAATAACGAGCAATAAATATATAGGTCAAATCTATTTTGCTTATTTTTATGAGAAATTTGCTTGTTTTTGACTAAATTTTAAAATTTTACTATTTAAACATATAAAATATATTGAATTTCTCCCTTTTACTATCTACGAATAGCTCGGGGTCCTAATAAGTGCTCTTGCCTCTATTATCGTCAACATTCATATCTTGCAAATGTAAGGAACGCTATAGCATATTATACGAAGAACTTATAGTATTTACTGGAAACCGACTGCGGCATATTATGCTAGAATGTACTACATCAAATATGGTTCAATCTGGTAATAAATATTAAATATTCAGTGCAATACTCTTCAGATATGTCATGTATTTGTTTTGGACGTATGAAATTCATCTCTAATTGGATAAACTAGATCATCAAAAAACTAAAAAAATAATATTTTTTTAATGCGCTATTCACTCATTATTATTTATACTATAAAATTATTTTTGAAAGCGTCACGTTTATTCAATGCTATAAAAATTTATTTGAAGAAAGCGAAAATTATAAGGCTATACAAATTTATAATTTCGGTTTTATATTCCGGAGTGGTGATCCAAAATTTTATTGTTTAAGATATCAACCAATAGAAATCCTTCACACATATCATGTGACAAACAAGAGTTGAATCAAAAAATCACGGACACGTGATAATGATAAAAATTCTTAATTCGGTAAGATTAGGGTTAGCATTACATTATGATTAGGTAATAGTAAGTATATATTAGTAAAATCGCTCAAGGAAATTTTTTGTTAGTGTACTAAAGGTGGCTACCTATGTAAATTTTCGAGTTATGTGCGATTTTTAGTAAAACGAACGTTCGTTTTAATTTTCCTGATCGTGCAACGTTACACCTGATCTTGTATCTCATTGGTTTGCACCACGAAAATATCACGTGCCCGTATTTTTTTTGATGTTGATACTGGGGTAGTTGAGTTGAATCATTCTAATCATTTTTTCGTATTAACTTATCGTTATGAGTGCCATTTAAATGAATATTGTTACCCGGGTAAGTCACGTGACATGTGACCACGGTTACTCCAAATTAGGGTAACCCTTCCCACTCAGGCTATTTCGGTTACGTAGGCACATCGGATTAGATAAATCAAAAATGATTTTTATTCATAGACAGAAGTTCGTCTGATTGGCTAATAAATTCAATTTAATTTTACATTATTTATACAGTTTAGAGTACTT